AGGCTCCATCAGAGCATCACTGATATTCCTGGCCCAGGATTCCCATCGGACCCCCTTCAGCCAGCACTGCTCCCACCTCCCACCCCCCTACCCGCCCCCTTCTCCCGTCCAACCCATCAGGCATCGGGTGAGCTGATCAGTAAAGGAGGAATTCAGGCCTCACTGTTGTCTGCCAGGCAGGTGGGCAGGAGCTCCCCTAGTCGCCCGGCCCCCAAGTGCGAGGCTGTTGTGGGGACGGGGGAGGAGGCTCAGGAATCAAAGCGAGCTCCGGGCTCCATCAGCTGCCCTCATTTGCATTAACACTGCCTCCCTGCAGGCTTCTGGATGGAGACCATGCTGGCAGTTCAAATCTGCACAGTATGGGGACAGGATAAGGGCGCGAGACAAGCCCCTTTCCCCTCCTTTGTCAGTTTCATCTTCCCAGCTGCCTGGTCCCCGCTCCGGGGCCCTGACTGCACTCACAGCAATGGCAGGAGGTTAGGTGGGGGAGGTAGGCGACCCCCGGTGAAGCTCAGTGGACGGGCGATGGGGTGCAGAGAGAGCCCAGGCCTTGAGGTGGGGCTTTGTCACTCACCAGTGCTGTCACCTTGTGTTTGTGGGTTACCCTCCCAGAGCCTGGGTTTCCTCATTTTAAAAATAATGGAGAACAACCTGCCCTGTGCAGGGCAATTGAGAGGATTCAATAAGAAACGGATGAAGTAAGCTTGTAAGAGCCTGGGCTTTCCAACTGCTCAGGGAGTGGCAGCTCCTATGATGACGATTGCTCTTGTTCAGTTTAGTTTTTAAGGAGTCACTAGTAGATCTCTGTTGTGAGACGGCTGTCTCGGGGTTCTGGGTGGTTCTCTTGTCCCGGGCGACTGAAAGCTGTTGAGCGTCCCCAATCCTGAGGGAAAGCTACCCAGGCCCCAAAGAGCAGGCTTTATGCGCAAACCTTGGGCAGAACCATCCCAGGCTGATGGGGGTGGGGCACCTGCTGCCCCTTTTCTCCCGGCTGCTTGGTGCTCTGGGAGGCAGCCTCCAGCTGGCTTCCAGACCGGCAGAGTGGATTGGAGCCCGCATCGCTGTGGATCCTTGGTGCGGCTTCTCTAGCAGCCTGTGTTCCCCAAGTGGCTCTTTGCCAGGCTGGCATCTTGGCTGCTGGAATGTGCCAAGATTCAAGTACAAATGCTGTGGGCTTGGGGACAGGGTTCCATGCGGTCTTCAGGGCAAAGAGGTGTCAGCATTCCCAACCCTCACTTAGCTGTCTCCTTCTCTCTCTCTCTGCCGCACACACAAACATGCACACGCACACCCTCCCTGGGAATTCTTTATGATCTTCTGCTCAGGTGTCAGTTTGATTCCATCCCGATCCGTAGTTGTCAGTGCCTGTTATTTGCAGGGTCTTGTAAATCTGACAGGGACAGAGGGGAAAGGGATCTTCCCCAGATCTTCTCAGGGACTTTATTTATTTATTCTAATATTTATTTACTTATCTGGCTGCGCCGGGTCTTAGTTGCGGTGTGCGGGATCTTTAGTTGTGGTGTGCGGGATCTTTAGTTGCGGCGTGCGGGATCTTTTATCTGTGGCACGTGAGATCTAGTTCCCCGACCAGGGATCGAACCCGAGCCCGCTGCATTGGGAGCGTGGAGCCTTAACCTCTGGACCACCAGGGAGGTTCCTAGTCGGGGACTTTAAAAAAGGCTGATTGCCCCAGCAGGAAATGAGCCAGGCAGAGCTGTGTGGGAGCCCCGAGGGGGGAGTTTGCTGCCAGAAGGGACATTTGGGATGAGTCCCAGAAGATGGGCAGGAGTTCCACAGAGACAGAGATGAGGGTGAAGAGGAGAGGCTGTTCCGGGCAGAGGGAACAGCCTCAGCGAGAAGAGAGAGACAGGAAAGATGGGAGGTGCTCGAGGCCCAGGGCATCGTCTCTATTGGCTGTGACGGGGAGGAAATAGAAGTCAGGGCTGCAAAGTTAGGTGGGGGCCACATTATACAAGATCTTGAGTGCCACAGTGAGGAGTCTGTGGTTAAATGGGAAATGGATAGGGAGCCATGGACAGTTCTGGGCAGGAGAGGGTCAGGATCAGAGTACTTTGGCAGCAGTGTGGGCTGGGTCCAGGGGCTGGACGGGGCTGATATCCATCCAGGAGAGGGATGGCCTCTCAGGTGCTTCAGCCTGCACGCTGAAATCCCCGCTCCCTGCCCCAGGCTGGCTGCGTACATGATTTGTGGGGTGCAAAGGGTGGGAGGGAACAAAGATGGCACTGAAGTTGGGGTTCCTGGGTATGATGAACAGACCCATGGCCACTGGCAAGGGCTTGGTAAGAGGACTTCATTGGGAGAGATGGCAAGTATGGGTGGGGTCGTGATGCATGGGGGTGTAGGGTTGGGATGGGGCTGGACTTCAGCTCCTGGCTCTGCAGGGGAGGAGCTGTCCTCTGGGACTAGTGCCGAGGCTGGTCACCGAGCTCAGAGGCTGGCTCGGGGTCACTGATCGGCCTCATGTGTGTCCACAGGGACAGCACGCTGCCCATACACGCCGTGGGGCTGCCCACCCCTCACCCCTCTGCCAAGCCTCATCTGGTCCCTTGCCTGCACTTTTTTTTTTTTTTTTTTTTTGGCGGTAAGCGGGCCTCTCGCTGTTGTGGCCTCTCCCGTTGCAGAGCACAGGCTCCGGACACGCAGGCTCAGCGGCCATGGCTCACGGGCCCAGCCGCTGCGCGGCATGTGGGATCTTCCCGGACCAGGGCACGAACCTGTGTCCCCTGCATTGGCAGGCAGACTCTCAACCACTGCGCCACCAGGGAAGTCCCCTCTATGTTTTTTAAAATTGAGATGAAATTCACATAATATAAAATTAACCATTTTATAATTCAGTGGCATTAGTACATTCATAGTGTTGTGTAGCCACAACAGATCTGTTTTTTTTGTTCGTTTGTTTGTTTTTGCGGTGCGCGGGCCTCTTACCGTTGTGGCCTCTCCCGTTGCGGAGCACAGGCTCCAGACGCACAGGCTCAGCGGCCATGGCTCATGGGCCCAGCCGCTCTGCGGCATGTGGGATCCTCCCAGACCGGGGCACGAACCCGTGTCCCCTGCACCGGCAGGCCGACTCTCAACCACTGCGCCACCAGGGAAGCCCCTGCCTGCACTTTCTGGGTGTCCCACCTTGCTCCTCTCTACTCTCAAGGTGGAGGGATTCTGTTCACCGGGCCAGTGTCCCAAAGGTCCCCTGTTGATGGTGTTCTGTGGGTTTCTCCCAGGTTATCGATGTGATGTCCCCACAGGACAGAAGGGCGGGGCTGGGTCAGGGCAGCATCCAACACAGACTCAGCCTTTTTCAGCCACAGGGAGAGGAGGGTGGAGTCTGGTAAATGCAGCCTGGCATCTGCCTGAGGCCTGGAAATAGGGTTTGAGGGGTCCCCGGAGGCAGAACAATGCTTGACTGACAGGCCTCTCAAAGGGCCCCTCCTTCTCCCACCTGGCTGCCTCAGGAGTGCAGGCCTTGCCTGAGCACCGGCCTCCCCGGCCCTCATTATGGAAAGGCTGGGGCTGAGGCTGGTGGGGCAGAGCCCAGGGCAGTAGAGGCCCGCACCTCCCAGGGGACCACTACACGCCAGTTGGGGGATGAAGGAGCAGCAGGATAACAGGAGGCTGGTGACCAGGCGAGCTGGGGAGGAACCGCTTCCCTCCCCCAGACCCCTCACTCTTCCCAGGGTGGGTCCACCTGTCCTCCCCAGCCACTTCAAGGGCCCCTCACTCAGCGTTGGCTAACGGTGAACCTGGGGTGGAATGGCCAGTGCAGGGGCTGCAGGAACTGAGGGGGCTGGAGGGAGAGAGCCAGCAGTCATCCCCAGGCCACCAGCCTTTCCTCAGCCCTGGGCAATTACAAGGCCACAAATCACAAGGAAACGGTTGTGTAAGCACCTTTGTGAACCTAATGGAATATGCAGGGGGCCCAGGGAGGCCATGAAAATTCCATCAGCCTGGCTAACCTGGTGCCCGGCTCAGCCGGATGCAGTGAGGTTGGTGTAGGGGGGAGGGGCCCCAGGGGGGTGGGACACTCCCATTGTCCCCCAGCCACGAGTCTCCTGAGCCTTAGCTCCAAGTGCTTCTGGAGCATCCGGGGGTTCCGACTCTTCCTCTGGCGCAGAGGGGGAAGCAGTGAGGTCCCCTGAGGAGACACCACTTCTGGTGCAGAAAGATGGGTTGTCCCCAGCGTAGGTCAGAGGCAGCTCACCCCACCCTGCAGGGTCAGAGTCCAGCCTCCAAAGCTCCCCAGCCCCAGCAGGGACAGTGCCTGCCATGTCAGAACCTGCCTGGAACTTGGAGGAAAAGAAAAGGCAAGGCACGTGGGAGCTCAGAGCACAGGCATAGCAGTTGCATAAATGCCACATACTCCGTGTGACAGCCTCTCTGAGCCTTTATTTCCACTTCAGAAAATAATAGGCATTACTTCAGAGACTCGGTGAAAGGACCAAGTGATAGAAATTCACACCAAGCGCTGAACACGATTCTTACTTACAGCACGTGCTCACATGCTATTATTCCAGCTGTTTGAATTTAGGCTTTGAGGCAAGGCTCTGGGACTGTCGGCCTGTTTCTGAGCTTGGAGGGACTCAGCTCGTTCCGGGGAACTTAGCCAAAGGTAGAGGTTTGTACAGAAAGAGGAATCTAATCTGGAACCTGGGCGCTTCTTAAACTATTGAAACCAGGGATTCTCAGCTTCAGCACTGGGGTCTTTCTGGGCCAGTGATTCCCTGTCATGGGGGAGTCCTGAGCATTGTAGGGTATTTAGCAGCATCCCTGGCCTCCACCAAGTAAAGTCAGTGGTGCTGCCTAGCTTTGACCACCAAAAATGTCTCCAGATGTTGCCAAATGTCACCTGGAGGGGTGAGGGGGCCAAGTCCCCCTCCATCCCTGTTGAGGAACACTAGGCTATAATAGTGGGGGTGAGGGGACTGGGGAGCCGGGCCGTGCAGGAGGAGGAGGGCTGCCCCCTTAGAGTCCTGCTTTTCTTGCAGGGAAATGCCCATGGCTGGGCCCGCCACCCACGTTGCCCCCATGCTGTTCCTCGCCCTCCTCCTGCTACTGGAGCTGAGCCTGGCAGTCTCCCTGGGACCCGGAAGCTCTGCTCGGAACCTCCCGGAGAATCACATCGACCTCCTGGGCCCAGAACTGTGGACGCCCCAGACCAGCCACCACCGCCGGCAGGGCCTGGGCAAGAAGGAGCGTGACCCAGGCACACCTGGCCGGGCCCAGGATGGGGCTGTGGTTGCCACCACCAGGCAGGCCTCCAGGCTGCCAGGGGCAGGGGGGCTGCTGCCTGGGCAGAGTCCTGCAGGCCTGCTGCAGGACAAGGATCTGCTCCTGGGGCTGACACTGCCCTACCCCGAGAAGCAGAGCCGGTCTCCAGGGTCAGAGAGGGTGAAGAAACGAGGCAGGGAGCACAAGAGACGTAAGGAGAGGTTGAAACTGCACAGAGGTAGCTGGAGGTCTTCGAGGGGGTGGGGCCCTGCAACGAAAGGGGGAGGGAGAGTGGGGGAGAGGGATCAGATCTAAATGGCCAAGGGGATTTCAGGGACAGGACAGGGAGGCGGGGGAGGGGGGGAAAGTGGGGGCCGGCGGTGTCAATGGTGTGAGGTCCCTGGGAGGACATCCAGAGGCCCCAAAGGGGGCAGGTAGTGGACCCCCAGAGGAAGGGAGGGGTCTCACTGAAGTCAGAGGGATCTGGTAAGAAGTGGACTCTGGGAAAGGCCTGGGCATGGAGCATGGGAGGAAGAGAAGGACATGTGGCCATAGGAGCTCAGTCCTATCAGTAGATTGTCCTCCTAAATCAGGAAGTTCTACCTCGTATCTGACCTAAATCCATCCTACTGTAAGTCCTGAATAGAGATGGGACAGTTTGGTACCCTCCAAGCACATCACTTAATCAAGTCCGAGGCACAGAGCAGAGGCTGAGAGCTTAGACTCTGAAGCCACATCTTCCCCAGGTCTGATTCTGGCTCCACTACTTACTGGCAAGTCATCTTTCTGTGCCTCAGTTTCTGCAAAGTGAGTGTCATGGCCCCTTCTGCCCTCAGGGTAGATTCAGAGCCGGCTTGCTATCTGAAGCACCCAGAATGGTGCCTGGCACGTGGCAGGGGCAATGGGCAGTGGTTGTTACTAGTTAATTCTCAGTTTTCTCTCAGTGTTGAGTCAAGTGTCCTCCGACCTGGACACGGCTGACCAAGGAGAGCGGTCACGTCCTTATTTCTCCTGCCTCTGCTCTGTTTGTTTGATGGGGTTTCTTCCTCGTCTTTCTGACCTTCCTTTAGTTCCCTCCACGTTCCCAAATCCCCTGTGAGCCGAACCACCCACTGGTCCCAGCCTCCCCAGAACAAACGTGTCCCAGCGGCCCCACCCAGCAGGCTCCTCCCCAGTCTCCCCTGGCCAGAGCGCAGGCAGGCAACCTCGGCTTCCAAGTCTCTACATGTGACATGACTGCCTCTAGGGGCAGACCGAGTGCCACAGGCATGGATGGGGGCGGGGGATCTGCAGGAGGTGGGTGATGGAGCCTCAGCCCCACCTTCTCCTGCAAACAGCTGGGGCTTGCTTCCCTTCCAGGCCCGCTGAGACCCCCCAGGTGGACAGAACACAGGGGCGTGGGCCCAGCTTAGACTCTCAGCCTCCCGCCCCTGGGGATCACGTGTCAGGTGGGGTGGGGGCAGTGGCAGCCTTGACAGCAAGCAAGCAGGCATACACGGGGCGTGGACTCAGCCCAGCCCAGCCCCAGCCCCAGCTCCTGTGGACCAGCGGGGCGCTCCCACGAGAGTGGGTGAGTGGAGGTCTGGAGTCCAGGCCCAGGCCTGCTGACCAGCTGTAAGGTCTCAGCCTGATGGGGCCTCAGTTTCCTTCTGTAAAATGAATAGAGCAGATTCAGTGGTCCCCGAGTCCCCTTCCTACTCTCTGGGGTTCATCTCTGGATGGTGGGGAGGCCCCAACTGACCCAACCAACCTTAAAGTCAGATCTTGCCTGAGAAAAAGAGGCAAGGATGAGCCTGGGGCCTCTAGCTTTTCTCGAAGCCCCCTGGTTCCCGACCACCCCCAACCCTGCACACTCTCCCCCCTCACAGTCATCCTACCCCATCCTGCCCACATATCTTGGAAGGCAGCATCAGTGGTTAAAAGTATTGGTTTTGCAACAGATGGACCTGGGTTCGAATTCAGACTTTGATACTCACTAGCTGTGTGCTCTCAGGCAAGTTGCCTAACTTCTCTGTGCTTCAGTTTCCTTCCCTGTAGATGAGGCTGAAAGAGTACCTCCCTGCCAGAGCTCCTGCAAAGGTTAGGTGAAATAGTGCTTGTAAAGCAGGACCCAGCGTACAACATGGTCCCAGCACACAGCATGTACTCAATGAACAGGGTCATTATCACCACGTAGGGAGCTCTCACCTCCCAGCCTTCTCAAAGGCCTCTGCCTCCCTGCAATGCCTCTCAGCCTCATCATGTTGCTCCCCTACTCAAACTCACTCTCCTCCAGGAAGCCTTCCATGGTTAATCCTACTAAGTTCCATTCATTGCACTTACACTGCTGGCTGCACCCAACCAACCCAGACTTGAACTTGCTGGACTATTGCTTTAGAGCAAGAATCCTGGGCCATCTCCCCAGCAACACTGCAAATTCATCCAAGACTTTCCCCCTCGTCCTGCCCCCAGACTCCTGCTTCCACCCCCGCAGGAGGGTGGGCAGCAGCGATGTCGGCTGAGCCAATAGCTTGTCATATGGTTCCTGCCGCCCCCCTGTTCGCAGCAGGAAATGTGGGTCCAGCTGTGGGCCGATACGGGGTGGTGGGTGGCAAGCAGATACAGTTGCTGTGCTTCCTGCTCCTTGTCTCAGGCCGAGCCTTGGTCAGAGGTCCCAGCTCCCTGATGAAGAAGGTGGAGCTGTCAGAAGACCAGGCCCCAGATGCCGCGATGGAGGAATCCTCCACCAGCCTGGCCCCCACCATACTCTACCTCACCACCTTTAAGGCAGCACCTGCCACAGAAGAGTCCCTGATCCTGCCCGTCACATCCCTGTGGCCCCAGGTAAGGGGCCCGGGGCGGCCTCGGAGATGGAAGGGTCCTTGAGATGATGTCATGCAAACCCTTCTTAGTACATTTAGGGAGACTGAGGCACAGTGGCAGGAAGGAGCTGGTCCAGGCCGGCGGGGCTGGATGGAAGCCAGGTCTCCTGATGCCCATCCAGCCCAGCTCAGGCCAGTGGGCCCACTGGCCAGGGAGGGCTGCCGCTGTCCAGGCAGTGGTCCTGGGGGCTCACTCTAGGGAATGCCAAGGAAGCAAGTGCTGGCTCAGCACACTGGTTTCTGCATCTAGAAGAGCAGGGCCTTTGGGGAAGAATTTTATACATGCCGAAAAGCACGGAGAATAATAATCTTTAAAACCATGTCCCCATGGTCCAGAATTAGCAAGCTTTAGTTAACACTTTGACCCATCTGCTTCAGACCTTTAAAAAGGATATATGGAAGGGACTTCCCTGGAGGTCCAGTGGTTGAGACTCCACGCTTCCACTGCAGGGGGCGTGGGTTCGATCCCTGGTCGGGGAACTAAGATCCCACATGCCGCGTGGCACAGACTAAAAAAACAAGAACAGAAACAAAAAGATATACAGAGAGGGAGCAGGCCAGCAAACGTGGCAAATACACCAACCATTGGTGAGTCTAGATGGAGGGTACTTATTGTTGCAATTAACGTGAGGTGCATCATTGCACCTCTTCTGGGGCTTTGAAATTTGTTTCAAAATAAAATCATTAAAAATGATCAAAAATAAATATATGTGTAGAAGAAATAAAACTTTTTTTAGCAGTAGATCTTTCTTATTCTCTTTTTGGGTCTTACACCCCCCCCTGAGATTCTGATAAGACTATGGGCCATTTCCGACGAATCCATGGTTACCCATGCTGTCTCAGGGCCCCTGAAGCCCATGTGTTGAGAACCCAGCCCTTGAAGGTGGGTTCACATCCTACTGTGGCCAGGGCTGTGAGTGGAACTGAGCCATGGCCGTGGCCTCAACAGTGCCACAGAGAGCTGATGACGTCTGCAGGGGAGAGAAGGGGCAGGGGAACAAGCAGCTGGGCTTCCTCCTGCCTCCCCGCGCCTCCCCCAGAGGGCCTGGTGGATCCCTTGCCCGACTACGTCAGCTGCCTGTAGGCGCCGTCCCACACTGGGGGTGGCTGCTCCGGGCGGCCCCTCGATGTCCCCGGGCTGGGATTGCAGGCTGTCCAGCACAGGATGAGCTGGCCTCTGAGGAGCCCCTCCTTTGCTCTCTGGTTCTGGGGCCCCACGTTTCTTCTTTCACCTGTTGGGATCTTCAAGCTCCCTCCGCTCCACCCCCTTCTGCAGGCTCATCCCAGGCCCGACGGGGAGGTGATGCCCACACTGGACATGGCCTTGTTTGACTGGACCGATTATGAAGACTTAAAGCCTGAGGTCTGGCCGTCTACGAAGAAGAAAGGTATGTCTACCCACCCCGCCACCCCCTTGCTGGGCTCCCTCCCCTCTCCCACCATCCATTGGGGTAGGGGGCCTCAGTGACCCCAGCCTGACCTACATATGTCCAAGGTGGGATAGGGAGCCTGGAGTCTATAATGGAACGGACAACTGAAATGGACTTGCTGCTCTCAAGTGCTCATCGCACGGCAAACGCCTTCCACGTAGCTACTCACTTAACCTTAAAAGAAAAAAGAAAAGTTAGGTCTGTTCTGCTGTTGATCCCACTTTAGAGAAGAGAAAACTGAGGCAGAGAGAGGTACTGTGTCTTCTCCCAGCCACACTGTGGGAGTGGCGGTGTGAGCGCTCTCACCCTGGTATATTCTGTGCTTAATCTCTCTGCCCTGCTGAGCCTCAGCCTCTGACCACAGATCCTGTTTTCCCCAGAGAAACACCGGGGCAAACTCTCCAGTGATGGGAACGAAACATCACCGGCTGAAGGGGAGCCCTGCGACCATCACCAGGACTGCCTGCCAGGTACCGAACCAGCATCGTGTTCAAGGCACTAGGCCGGGCGCTGGGGAAACCTGCATGGGGATGGGGGCGGGTGTTCCCAGACACATGAGCAGGACCCTTTAGGGATGGTAAATAATAACAACCACGGCTACCACTTTACTGAGAGTTGCTGTCATACTTTGTTCTATTTAATCCTCACAGCAACCCAGAGAAGGGGACCCTGTCATTCCCCATTTTCAGGCAAGGAAATTGAGGCTCAGAGAGGCTAAGTGTTTCAGCCGAGGTCACACAGCTAGGAAGTGGCTCAAACCTGAGTCTGCCTGGTTCTGAACCGCTGCCCCACGCTGCCTTAAACCATGATGACCCTTCTCTCGACTTCTCTCTCCTAACGTCTTTTTGGGCTTAATTCTGTCCTTGTCCCATCATGACACTGCTGGGCTTCTTGGGATACTTTGATGACATCCTGACCTGTCCAGCAGCTGAGCCCATTAAGACAGTCTGAAAACAGAGGCCTGGGGTTTTGTTTGTTTGTTTGTTTGTTTTGTGGTACGCGGGCCTCTCACTGTTGTGGCCTCTCCCGTTGTGGAGCACAGGCTCCGGACTCACAGGCCCAGCGGCCATGGCTCACGGGCCCAGCCGTTCCGCGGCATGTGGGATCCTCCCAGACCGGGGCACGAACCCGTGTCCCCTGCATCGGCAGGCGGACTCTCAACTACTGCGCTACCAGGGAAGCCCTAAGGCCTGGGATTTTGATTGATGGTCTAAACTGCTGGCCCTTGATTGGGTCAGTCGGAACTTCTGAGAAGACGACAGGGAGGGGGAGTTAGAAGGGCAGGAGGTTTCTGGGGGTGGGGGGTAGGGTAAGGCCTGTGAACGATAAAAGTGGAACGAAGGAGGAATGGACAGGAGACTGTGATGCAGTCGCCCGCCAGCCCAGCGGGGAGCTCCAGAGCAAAGATTCCCTGTTAGAAGAGGCCCCTGCTGGGCAGGTAGCCGGGCCCCGGCACCCCCGCTGAGCCAGTGACTGCCTGGGCTGTTCTGCTCCAGAACAGTGTGACATTGGCTCAGGAGGCTCCTGCAGGTGTTAACAGCTGGAGGCTGGCAGCTAACTGCTCTCCTGGCCGATGGATGGCAAGTGCCTTCCGGAGGGACATCTGAGTTGCACACCTCCACGACGCTCGTTAATTCAGTGACCAGAATATTCTACAAAACAGCAACCCAACAAGCCATTTGGCATCGGATAAGCCAGACCGCCAGCTCCCTGAAAGGCTGTTTTCTTTCCAAACCATTGTTTTCACCCTGAGCAGAAAGAAAAGGCTCAAGTTTGGGCCAACTGAACAGTGGCTCTGAGAGTTGGCTCCGTGGTGGGCGAGGCCGTGCCTAGGGCCTGCCTCTCGGGGGCTTCTGTTTCCCCATCTGTCCAAAGAGGATGTTGGCTCCATGATCACTGAGGCCCCTCCCAGCTCCATGCTAACTTCACACCTGACAGCCCCCAGCCGTTCCACCCAGGGGGGGAATCCCACAGCGCCCTCGCTCCTCCCATGATCAATCAATTGCCCATCTGGGGCGTCTGGGGTCTCTGCCGCCCGCCCCCAGGGGCCTCGGCTGTGACATTCGTCAGTGGTTCCAGCTGGGAGCCTTGCGCACCAGATGGTCCATCCTGCCCGGGATGGCCCCACCATGGAGATGATGTATCTCCTGTCCAGTGGGAGCGTGTGCAGGGCACAGGGAGGGTCCGCTCGGCGTGGCTGACCGAGTGTACTTTTGCTTTGTGGGCAGGGACCTGCTGCGACCTCCGGGAGCACCTCTGCACGCCCCACAACCGAGGCCTGAACAACAAATGCTTTGACGACTGCATGTGTGTGGAAGGTGAGCCCGACATCGGGGGCTCCCTCGGTGCCGAGACCTCGCAACCTCCCTTTCTCCTCCAAGCTGGGGTGGGCAGAGGAGGGGGTGGGAGAATCCCTGGGGAGCTGAAGACACGAGCAGGAACAGCTTTGCTCGGTGCCTTCACAATCTGTGAACTCATTTAGTCTCGATTCCTGGCATCGTTGGTCAAATTTGCTTTTCTCACCTCTTGAAATACAAGCTGGCATGATCTCCCATGATCTGGAGGCGGGAGAGGGGAGGAGAGAGGAGCGTATCTTTTAAAATAATATCAAACCTGAGAAGCCTGGTGCTTTCATACCGGAATTCTATCCCAGGGGAGACATTCCAATTGTGATAACAAGGGGTGGGGGGTGGATTTCCCAGCACTGTCCCAGGGAAGGATGCACTTGCCTGGCTGGCTCCCTCTTTAACTCCTCGGAGCTCCCACGTGGAGCGGTATGTGCCCTCCTGCCCAGGTGGGCCCAGGTGTACCCGGCTCTGTGCTAAGCCCTTTACCCATTATCTCCTTAATCCTCCCAACGATCCCAGGAAGGGAGCTATTGTTCTCCCCATTTTACCCAAGAGCAAACTGAGGCACAGAAAGGTTAAGCCACTTGCCCAAACCTACATAGCTAGAAAAGTGGGAGAACATTTTAAATTTTGTATTCTGAAAAATTTCAAACACATATTAAAGTCGTCAGGATAGTATAATGAACCCCCATTTCCCGTCACCCAGCTTCAGTAATGCTCACACATGGCCAATCTGTGCTGTCTCCCCTCCCATCTGCTTCCCCCATTGCAATAGGATTTTTTTAATCTTTTTTTTTTTGGCCACGCCGCGCAGCATGTGGGATCTTACCCCGACCAGGGATCAAACCTGCGCCCCCTGCAGTGGGAGCGCAGAGTCTTAACCACTGGACCGCCAGGGAAGTCCCTGCAATAGGATTTTGAAGCCACTCCTGGAAGTGTAGCTATTGCATCTGTGAATATTTCAGTATACACACCTAAGAGATAAGTACTCTTTTAAAAACAAAATACCAAAAATGCACAATAATTACTGAGTGTCATCCCACATCCAGCGCTCACATTTCCTGAGTGAAGGGATTTGGTCTCAGTCCCTCTGTTGACCATTCTGAGATACATGCCCAATTTTTTCTCACATTAGCCTCAAAAATTATCTGCTGTGAGAGCAATAAAGCTGCTTAGGTCCAATTATTCATTCATCCAGTCTGTCAAGAGATATTTATTGAGTGCCTACTATGTGTTGGGTTCTGATAAGGACATTGGGGATTCAGCGGCAAAGAGAACCAGCAAGCTCTGCGCCCATGGATTGCATTCTAGTGAGATGAACAGTAAGCAAATAAGCAGACAAGATGTCTTTAGGAAGGAAGAGGGGCTGTCAAGAAAATAATCCAGACTGGCCTGATGAGCAGGCTGGGAGGTGTTTTAGAAAGGGTGGGCAGGAGCGGACTGCAGAACCAGCCGCCTGAAGATGAGGGGGTGGGGGGAGGGAGAGAGAGTCCCAGGCAAGCGGCAGAGCAAAGCCGAGGGCCTCGGGCAGGAATGAGGCTGGCATGTTTGAGGGCGCCTGGCACACAGTAGCCAACGGGGAAGGTGGCAGAAGGGGAAGTAGGAGAAGCTGGGGGGAGGATCATGCAGGACTTTGAGTTATAATGGGAAGGTGTCGGCAGGTTTTAAGCAGGGGAGTGACCTGGTCTGACTTACGAGTGTAACAGCTCACTCTGGCCGCAGTACTGTTGGGGGCGGGAGTGGAGACACAGAGGACCAGCTGGGAGGTGAGGGGATGGAGGCAGGCAGGGGTGGAGATGCCGGGGAGCTGCCTTCTGTTACCCCTGTGCAGGGCTGGTGGCCCATTTCGCAGAGGAGGAGACTGAGGTGCAGAATGGCCCGGAGGTCCAGGAAGCCCGGAATAGCGCCAGGGCCTCCAGATCCATCCTGCCCACGTGAGGGGGATGTGGCCCGACTGAGTTCACACACCCAGCTGGTGCCCAGCCCCTCTGCCCAGGAAGGCGTCCTTCCTTTCTCCCCAGGGCCTCAGGTAGGAGGGGGTAGCTTTTCAGGCATCCAAAAGATATGTGTGCAGCCAAAAGCCCATCTGCTCGTTTCCCGTGGTCTCTCCCACCCTGGTCGGTCCCACCAAAATTCTTGCTTCCTCCGTGGAGACTCAGGCTCCAGAAAAAAAAAATTGAGTAGAAATGACAGCTCATTAAAGATGGTCCAGGAAGAGGTTGTCAGGAACCCTCTGAGGACCAAGAGTCCTGACGACTTCTGAGAAATCCCAAAATGTTGAATTCAGGTTCCAGGGCTGAAGTCCAGCAGTCTAGGCCAGCCTGGATTCTGGAGGGTTCCAGAAGGGCTTCTGTGGCTACCAACCACTCCTGCTTATAATCCCCTGCCCCCCTCCTAAGTGTATTTTGTGTGGCCACAGGTCTGAAAGCTGCGATCCAGGTGTCAATTCTAGACCCCAAAGCACAAACTTCACAGCAATTCCTTTATTCTCTTGACAGTGATGTAAGCAGATCTTAAGCAGGTGATGGCCTCCTCTCTCCCCGTGGTCACTCCTAACCTGAAATGTAGGGATTGCTCAGGCCACACTGAGCAATCTCTTCCCCTAACCCTCCCACCCCCAATCAGGAGGATGTGGCCTTCTGTGGCCTTAAATGAAAAACATGTCTACCCATGTATGTCAGGGGATGCCTGACATATGGTTATGATAGAGCCACAGCCAGGAACCCCTGCCACTGGTGGGCCAGGAGGGCCACGACTACTTTAATTGGGGTGGTCAGGGAGGGTCCCTTTGAGACCTGAAGGCTGTGAAGGAGCCAGCTATGCCAACTTCAGGAAGGTATTTCTGGCTGTGAGAACAGCAAGTGCAAAGGCCCTGGAGCCAAAAATGAATGGGTGTACGAGGAAAAGCAAGAAAACTGGGTGTGGCTGGAGTTAGAGAGTGAGGAGGGGAGTGGGAGGTGAAGAGAGCAGACAGGAGGCAGGTCCAGGTCCCAGAGGGTCTTATAAGCCAGGGTAGGAAGTTTGGATCTCCTTTTGAGTACAATGGGGAGTCATGGGAGGTTTTATAGGGGAGGGCAGAATCTGCATCCCTTTAACAAAAGGTTTTTAATGGACTATTTTTTAAGAGCAGTTTTAGGTTTACAGAAAGACTGTGCAAAAAATGCAGAGTTCTCATATGCCCCCCCCCAAACACACAGTTTCCCGTATTATCCTACTTTAGTGTGGTGCACTTTTTACAACTGATGAACCAATAGTGATACATTATTCACTAAAGTCCATAATTTACATTAGGGGTTCACTCTTTGTGTTGCACATTCTCTGGGTTTTGACAAATGTACAGACATGTACCCACCATTATAGTATCACACAGAATAGTTTCGTGGCCCTAAATATCCCCTGTGCTCCATCTGTTCACTCTTGCCTTCTCCATCTGTGATTCGCTTTTTTAAGCCCATTCAGGCTGCTCTGCGGGGGATGGGTTGGTTGTAGGACGGAAAGAAGAAGGGGGTGGTGGTGAGAGGATGCAGGGGGTTCCAGAGGGCGCGGAGGGGTCTGGCTGGTCACATCCCTGACCCCCTTGCCTCTCTTCACCCAGGGCTGCGCTGCTACGTCAAATTCCACCGGAACCGCAGGGTCACCCGGAGAAAGGGGCGCTGCGTGGAGCCCGAAACGGCCAACGGCGACCAGGGATCTTTCATCAACGTCTAGCGGGCCGCGTGAGGCGCCTCCCTACCGGCCAGGGGACTGAGCGCGGGAGGTTTGGAGAAGCCGGGCAGTTTGTTTATAACTCGCGGTGGCAGATCAAATGGGGAGGCAGATGACTGAGGCTGCAGGCTCAGACCCAGGACACTCAGCCCCAGGAGGGGAGCCCTGGGCGAACTGCCCCCGCCCAGGAGCCGAGCAGCAGCACACCTGCAGCCACCCCCTGGCCAATGGGAGACCCACACCGCCAGCGCATCCCGGTGTCCGCGTTCTCCGCGATGGCAATGTCGAGAGCACCCTCTAGCGTCCGGCCGCAGCACTGCAATTGTTTCAAGTTTAAAAAGGAAGAGGTTTTCGAGCTGGAAAAGAATGGAAACTCCCTGAGAGATAGGGGAACCCAAGGGCGGGAGACGAGTACGAAGCACCTCCTATGTACCAGGCACTGTGCTAAATGAAGGGCATACATTATCTCATTTGTCACATGGCCCTTTAAAGTAGGCATAATCACCATTTTACAGGGGAGGAAACTGAGGCAAGGTTTTATGACTTGTCCAGGGTCCCACATCAATTCTCCTCAAACCTTCACCTGTGTAAGAATCCCCAGGGATCTGGTTAAAATGCAGATTCCAATTCAGTCGATTCTGCATTTCTAACAAGCTTTAGGGCATGCCAATGCTGCTGGACCCAAGACCCCACTGAAAGCACCAGGTCCTGGAGACTCAGGGTGAAGCTGGCATCTGAACCTGGGTCCGACCAGCTCCAAGGCCCACGTCTTTGCTCCTCCACAACTAAGGACGCATTTCAGGTTCTCCACGGCTTTCGGTGAGAGAGACGTGTTCTCTAGTAGTTCCTTTCACTGTGGTGAAGGCTGGAATAACCGACTCTTCTCTTCTTTCCCTGGACAAAGGTATATAATTTAAAAAACAAGAGAAAATGTGCGTTAAGCACCTGCTTGCCTAGAAGGCATGATTTGGGCAGATTGACCCCTGCCCTCTGGGAGCTGGTATTCTGAGACATGAAGTGTTTGGGGTACACAGTAAAGCTGTTTCTTATTTCTATGGCCCCGCTCACCCCGTCCTGGGACATGCACTTTGGAGTTGCCTGAAAGCTGCCACCCCAGGGGGGTTCTTTGGCTTTGGTAGTTCATGTCCTTTGAGAATCTAATGCAAGCATGGACTCAAAAAGTACGCACGTTGCCCGTGTGCACCCACTTTGCATACGTCTTAGTGGTTCCCAGGCCCCCCAGAGACCATCCCAGGACCCCCAGCCTACACTTCGGCAGCAGAGCCTACTGAGGAGTTGGGGCACCTCTCCTAACAGCTCCCCACAGGCCAGACTCACGATGCCTACCCCAAACACCTCTCTGAGCAGATGTGACTCTAGCGGCCACCTCAGGAGAGCCACTTAAATCCCCCCCACCTGGCATCTCACTCCTGGCCAACCCTCAGGTCCAGGGCAAAGAAGGTTGCAAGCCTTCTCCATCCAGAGTCCTTGCTGGCCTGGACCCCAGCCGGGGGACCACGCCCACGAGATGCCAGGGCTGTTTACTCCACTGGGAAAATCAGTCGGGGGTCAAGGGTCCGGCACCAAGGAAAGCAGACAGATCTAGGAGAAACCAAATACACTGGCTCTTTTTGCCCTATTCAAGTTCGACGGGCATGGGAATCTTGGGGAGAAGGGGGACTGCAAGAGATCAAAGCCGGCTGTTTGTAAACTGAATCCACTGGCAGTTTTGTCTGTTCGAGACCAGACAAGGCCCACACTGTGGGCCTCACATGGAGTGGCAGATTCGAGATAGTGATAGAACCCTAGCAGGGGTGGCTGCAGGCGGGGAACCCAGAATTGCTTTTGTCTGGAGGGCAGCAGTTAGGCTAGCCCTGGGCCATCAACGATGGAAAACACCGATCAGGACAAAGCTGAAAGGCCCCACAGAACTACCAGGGGAGCTCCATAGCTAGAAAGTCAAGGCCTATCTCTTTGCCCTAGCTACTTGCATTTTGCATTTGCAAAGGCAGGGTGGGTGGAATCCTCATAACTCCAGAGTCAGGGATCCCAGAGCCCCCTGTGTGTTTAACAAACCTCTCTACCAGGAAGTTCTTCCTTGGTCTATCTTAAATTTCTTTTGCTGGGATGGACATAAGCCAATTTCCTCTAATCCAGGGTTCAACAAACTGTTACTGTAAAGGGCCAGATATATATTTTAGGCTGTGTTCCAGTGAAATGGTTTATGGACACAGAATTTCATGTAATTGTTACTTGTCACAGACCCATTATTCTTCTTTTGATTTTCTAAAATGCATTTTAAAATGTAAAAACCTCTCTTAACTTGCAGACTACACAAAAACAGGCCGTGGGTTGGATGCGGCCCCGGGCCACAGTTTGCAGGTCGCTGCTCCAATCTGCCGGCCTCAACCTTGGCTGCGCGTTGGAACAGCCTGGGCAGCTTGCAAAGGTACCGATGCCCGAGCCCACCTGCGAAGATGCTGGTTTAATTGGTCTGGGTTGTCTCTGGGCTTCGTGCGCTTGCAAAGCGTCCAGGTGACTCTGATGTACACCGGGCCCGAGACCCTTCCCTCGCCCTGCTGACTGCGCAGGTACAGCTGCCGACAAACGGCCTACCACACCGCTCACCACCTCGGTGACCTTAGGAAACTTAGTTAAGATCTCTGTGCCTTGATTTCTTTATCTGTAAAATAGGGATAATGAATCTTCCTTCATAGGGGTGCTGTGAGATGCAAACACAAAATCCTGGTAACATGCTTAGAGCAGTGCCCGGCACGTAAGAAGCCCTCAGTGTTAGCTAATTTATTTTTAGGATGATTTTAGTAGGTGTTCTGCTTTTTGAGATAACAATCCGTCACATACTCAGAGATCGCCATTCAGGCTCCTTTCCCAAGGCGTGTCCCCTGGAACACGGGGGCCGTGAGATGCTCCATTAGGAGAGAGGGGATGGGGTTCTGGGTCAAAGAGGTTTGGAAAACTGCTCTGGACTCAGCCCGAGGCAGCATGTACAGATTCTGGCCACTGAGGCAGAGCTGCAGGTGTCAGTGGCTTTGCAATAACAACAAGATGGGGACTTTCTAAAAATACCCACCCCACCCCCCACCCCCCGGGGCCGGGAAGAGCCGAGCAGGAGGCCAAGTGGAAACCAATAGCTGCAGGGACGGTCACCTGTGACCCCTGCATTCCTCCTGCGGGAGTCTTCCAGCCACTCCCCAGAGATACCCACCGTTCCCATGAGGCTGCCTTTCTGGGATTTGTCTGGCGATGCCAAGAGGGGCTCCTGAGCCTGCTGGGAATGAGTGAAGGGTCAGAGGACATGAAAGCCACGCCACGTGGGAACGTGACAGCTTTACCTGCCCCTTGTGGAGTCACGGGGCCACGAGTCACCTCCCAAAGCCACGATCCCTTCCACCACTGAGAAGCTGCAAGTGGATGCTTACTTCAAGCCATATTCAACACATCCAATAAAATCTGATGTCAAGATGGTGGGCATCAGCTCCCTGGAAGGGGATCCGCTTTGCAGCTGGAGAGACAGCGAACATATATGCAACCTGCAAGGAACATGTTTATAAAACAGCAGAAGAGCAGGGAAAAAATACATGCTGGAAGAGACAGCGGGAAGGGGCCGGAAGATCAAACCATTTAGGCTACTCATTGGGGGGTTTCATGGGCTTGAAAGGTGCACCATGACCTTCAAGATGACCTTCACTCCTACGGGAGACAACAGGGTGTGTGCTGGGGAGGGGTGACAGGATTTGCCAGTCTGAAGAGCCAGGGGCTTCCATTGCAGGGAGCGTATTTTCTGAATCCTACGTCAGGACGGGTGGTCTGATGGAGGATAAGCAGCCTCTTCGGGAAGCAAGAGGCTTTCTGGTCCCTCCATCCTTTTTTGTTGTTATTGCTGTTGCTGGGGCAAGGACTAATGACTTTAACTGGGAAGCCAGCAAACGAGAAGATGGTGAGCGCGTGCCCCAAAGAACCATCTTGCCAGAGTTAGAATTCAGGCTCCTTTTATACTAAAAGGGGAGCGAGTAAAGTCAAACACTTCCCGGTTCCCATCAGCCTCCAGAAGGGATGTGTTAATTTCTTCCTCCCTGCAGTCATTCACAGATGGGCCTGGCCAGAATGTTTCTTGTGAGCTAAACAAAGGTATTTTAGCTTAATGCTCATTATCTGGGAAGCAGGGTTCCCAGAGATGGGCCATTGTGTACAATTTGAGCTTATAGGCAACATCCCTTTAGTGATTAACTCGTAATAGGATACAAAAGGCTCTTCCCTATTACAATTCCCCACTGTCAATGTCCATTCCACATTCTTGTGGGAAAAGGAACGAAGACCTGGGAGCTTGGCAGAAATGTGGGATCCCGGTCCCGCCGGGACCTGCTGAACCACAAGTTCTCCAGGCCGTGCTTGTGCACAATAAAGATTCAGAGACGTTGGCCTAGGATGCAGAGGGGGAGACAGGACTGTCAGACGGTCAGGGACATTTGGATGATTTGGGGGCGTTTGCATTCAGGTGTGAGTTGGCAAATCTGAGATCCAGTTTGCCTAGTGAGTAACCAGCAATGACCACCTCGCAGGCTCTGAGGCCCTGTCTCCCGGGCTGGAACTGGCCTTTATTTTTAGAGGAAATGAATTGAAGCACCTGGGCCTGGGGCCTCAGTCGTTGGGTTTTCTGACTCTTGGGAACTTCCCTGGGGGGGGGGGGGCTGTCGTTCCTCTTTAAGGTGTTGGGGCAGCAGGGGAGGGGGAGGTGCTACGCCCTTGTAGTCCTGTGATGGCCTGTTGCATGCGCTCTCTTGAGCTGTAAATAAAGAGATGATGATAAATAAGCTGCCCTGTCGTCTCTCTCTGCCCCTCCAGAGATGTGCAGGCAGGGAGCACTGTCAGGGTGTTTGGAGGGGACTCTGAGCCTGGTATTTCTCCAGCTACTTACTCATTCACTCCACACCTTGGATTGAGCATTTGCTCAGGGCTGAGCAGTAAACAGGCAGACAGGGTCTCTGCCCTCACCTGGACTGCATCATGGTCCTTTAACCGGACCTCCTGGGTGGGAGTTTCATATTTTTCTCTCCCATTTTAGAGTTGGGGCAGCTAAGGTCCCAAAGAGATTCCAAGGCTGGCCACATACAAGGCTGGCAGGCTCATTCCAGGCAGAGTGCAGAGACGAGCAGATGCCAGCTTGGGCAGAACGCGGAAGAGCAAAGCGCCACCGCCTGAGGCCAGGCCTGGGCAGGCTCCGATGCCCTCTCGGGAAAGGGTGTGAACTGGCGACAGGCAGCCTGGCTTAGCACCAGGGAAGACGTCCCTTATCTCCAGCCAGCAGCTCCAGGCAGCACCACCCAGCTCTGCAGACCAGACCCCCCTAAGCCTATCTGATCAGAGCAAGGCTATGTCATGGCTCTCAGCAGCTCTGCATCCTAAAGCCAAGGTAGGGTCCAGACTCTCCTGGGGGCCAGGGTAACCACAGGTGTGGGAAGCCCTTAAAGGCCTAGTGTACCTGTGGGGATCTCCATGCCCAGGCACCACTGAGGGACTGGCTCCTACAGCCTGGACAGGGAAACACCCCTAATCCAGGGTTTCCTATAACACGGGCCTGGGGTACCAGCATCAGGCTCCTCTGGGGAGCAGGCCCAGGTTTCTGAGCCTACCCGGGCCTCTGACTCAGAATCTCCAGAGGTGGGCTTGGGAATCTGCATGTTTGATAACCACCCCCCTCATTCCCCAGGTCTGAGAACTACTGCACCAAACCCTCCTGAGAACTCACTTTCCTCCCTGCTTAGGCCCCAGGGAGCTGGCAAACCTCCCACTCAGGAATCAAGCCCAGAAGGTCCCCCTTCATATGGGCATCGCAAGTCGCACCCTCTCTGTCCCAATTGCTCAACCCGGCCGTTGTAGTGCAAAAGCCCCCATAGACAA